CCATTTGATGCCCCCACATAGCCAAACCGCGCCGGTTTTTAGCCGTGGACATGCGTTTTCTATTTTTCTCTTTATAACAGGCGACCCTCTGTCATCCTAATATTAATGGTAACTCCCAAACCACAATGACAAGGCGCAATAATGTTTTCCTATGACTCATCCATAAAAATATTCTATGAATAGCGTTTGATTGAATTCAGGTGTTATGAAAAATATGACCAGTGAATCAGCCACAATTGAACATAGCGCCTTCAAAATTCGAACCCCATTAGACCTACAGCAGCAAAACAGCGTGACGATTTCGCGGCAGATTGTCGAACAGCTATAAGAGACGGTAGCTAGAAATGGTCGTCGTGGTGGCTAAGCATCCACGGCAAAGTTCTGGTTTTTCCCCAAACTTCTCTGTCGACGCCAGCACGTTAATCGGTATAGGTCTTGAATGAATGCGCGTTCTTAAAGAGCACCCTTCAGACCGTCACTGATAATTAGGTGAGGACACTTGGACGAGGAGGCGCATGGAACTGTCGCAAACAAATCCGGTTAACCGTTGCTGGCATGGCTGGTCTAGGAGTCGCACATCAGGAAAATTTCAACAGAACCAAACGAACCACTAAACCGCACTAGAACCTTTTGACATGGGATGCTCAACAACTAAAATCCAAAACAACAACAATTAAATTAATCCAATTTGATCAACGCCTTCCATACACGAACAAACACGACAGGTTTTCAGCGACCATGAACTCGCTATCTCAAAGACTCGTTCCTTAGTCAACTTATCTCGTTTTCTATCAGCTACACCCGCTTGCATGCATGAAAAAACACAGACAACAAACAGCCATCTGGTTGCTCCAAGTTAGATGGCTTTAGCAAAATCATTAGAGGGTAGGGAAACATCACATCTCACGACATTTTGCCTTATTCGGATAAGCATCTCTGCGGCCATCTCATTCTGCAAGGTGCAGCTCAATAGCTCCGAGGCGCAGCGAAGCGTTGCAAATGCTGTCACATGCGCAGCACTTGCATCAGACCTAATAGATTCAACCTGTCAAGGCTGCAAAACGTCAAGTCAACTATCTCCTTGTATATTCAATACTTCAACTCTACTAACTGATGAGCCATGGGGTTGACGAAATACAGTACGTATCCAAGAATTAGAGGCGTGCTGCGCGACCAGACGTCAGAGTTGCTAAGGCGTCTGTAACAAATCTCTCTCTGGGTTAATGGGAATTTCACGTCCACCGCCGAGGTTCACATTCTGAGTCTTATTCTTCTCCTCGTTGTCTTTGGGCCGTTGCTAAAAATTATCCGAGATATCGCCATGTTGCAAAGATTGTAACAGTCAAGGAAATTGTAAACGTTTGTGAAACGTACGAAAATGTTCGATATCCTCCTATTCTTCCGTTGTGTTGTCGGAGTGGACGATGGTGTTGGAAGATGTGAAGTCGAAGCACTAGCCAAGGAATGGGCATCCAATCCTACACTGATGGGTCCTATATCACCTCCAGGATCGAGCAGCGCAGCCGATGAGCGGGTATGGACACCTTAATTACATGAATGCATCGGCACAGAACATTAAATTAAAAAAAATACTGAACAAAATCACCTTAGACTACTACACATGAAAGCTGCAAATTTTCAATTCAAAGGTCGGGCACTACTCGGCTTGGAAGGGACATTTTTGCACTCTCGTTATTTTTTCTTCTTCTTGTTTCTCAGACGCTATAAGGAGCGGGGTCGTATTTGCCTTCGAGAGGAATTGCGGCGTTCGGGAAAAAATTTCTCGATTGACTCTTCGCAGTTTCACGTGTGCTATATACCATTCTCCCCTCCCCTTCCAAACCGTCGACACCAAAATTTCGGGGAAGAATTGAGAAATTCCCGAGAATTCCGAAAAAAAAATGGTAGGAGGTTGGGAAAACCTAGGAAAGTGGTAGGTGGGATGGGGAATGGAGGGGATGGTATCGAGGAGGAAACTAGGGGAAGTGTCGTACTTTCCGAAAGTTTTCTCAGCGGCCGGAAGTTCCCTGTCTACAGATCTTCACAAGATCGCCCGAGCTAGCTTCGCTAAGTACCATTTGATGCCCCCACATGGCCAAACCGCGCCAAAATCGTCTTTTAGTCGTGGACATGCGTTTTCTATTTTTCTCTTTATACGGTGCACGTCAAACAGCGCGACCCTCTGTCATCCTAATATTAATGGTAACTCCCAAACCACAATGACAAGGCGCAATAATGTTTTCCTATGACTCATCCATAAAAATATTCTATGAATAGCGTTTGATTGAATTCAGGTGTTATGAAAAATATGACCAGTGAATCAGCCACAATTGAACATAGCGCCTTCAAAATTCGAACCCCATTAGACCTACAGCAGCAAAACAGCGTGACGATTTCGCGGCAGATTGTCGAACAGCTATAAGAGACGGTAGCTAGAAATGGTCGTCGTGGTGGCTAAGCATCCACGGACAAAGTTCTGGTTTTTCCCCAAACTTCTCTGTCGACGCCAGCACGTTAATCGGTATAGGTCTTGAATGAATGCGCGTTCTTAAAGAGCACCCTTCAGACCGTCACTGATAATTAGGTGAGGACACTTGGACGAGGAGGCGCATGGAACTGTCGCAAACAAATCCGGTTAACCGTTGCTGGCACGGCTGGTCTGTGGAATCGCTCATTAGAAAGTTCAAAAGAATCAAACACCACTGAACCGCACCAGAACTTATTGCCATGATTCGCTCATCACAGAAATTCAAACAACAGTTAGGGAAAATTAATCCAGCTTGATCAGCGCCATTTACAATA